ACTGAAGCTTCTACAGTGCATAGTGTTTATAAATTGTCCTCATAAATAAACAAAACTTTCATTCAGACCCATTTATGTGCTTTTAAACCTGGAATAGATCCTGAACCTCCTTAGGCAAACCTCAGAGATGCTATCTTTTCTTTCCAGGTTATTCTTATCTCCTCTTATCTCACATTTGAGTTTTCTTTCATTACTGATAGATTGGTAAGCAAATTTCCTATGCATTGAAAGAAGGTGTTGAGGAAATTTACTAAGGCAAGTGAATAAAAACAACCCAAAAAACCATATATTTCTACATAATAAAACTCAATCATAAAACTATATATTGATAGCAAAAGAAAATAATAAAACTATTTGCCGAACACTTAAAAAAGTCAGCTATAAACTTTGTTTTTGGGTGTGGTGTGATAATATATTTATATCTGAGATATATTTTTATTGACTATAAACCAATATTACCTCAATAAAATGTAAATTAGAAATAAGTACATTAAATTATATCCAATCTTTGCAAATGTTATACTGGTAAATTGAGGTGGGTCTAATTGGGGGGGGGTCAAATATCTCCCTACAGAGTAAAATATGCTGTTCTAAATATTAGTTTTCAGGAAAACATTCAGCATAAACAATAATAGAGAAATAAATCACAAATACTGAGTGAGAAGTTTTTATTACCACTAATGCATGAAGTTTTTTACAATTTATTGGAAATATGTGCTTTTATACATTTCACTGATTTATTTTGGAAATGCTTATGCAATATGCTTTTATAATATCTTATTTCAAGTAGAATATTTGAGAACAAAACACAATCATATACTTCATGTATAAAACTGGATGTATTATTTATATTATGGTTGGTAAAATGCATAATTTCTGAGGTTTTTTTAAATGAAAATTTCTCTTTCTAAAAGAGAAGTTTTTGCTTAAAAAATACAATGGTAATATTGGAAGTTTTTCTTTTCCCTCACACACACAGTCCCTCACACCTCACCTTGCTCTGGGTGTGTCTAATTCTCTAGTATCACTAAAGCTAAAGTCAACATTTTGTATGGAAATACAAAAACTAAACACAAAAACTAATAAACTATATTCTTGGGTATGAACTTGCATTTGCTCATTTCTTCATCCTTTCTTTTGATAGTTTATGTCTCTACTGTCCTCATAATCTAGTCCTTGTTTCGTTTTTCTAACAAAATCTTGCTTCCGTCCTTTCCTCCCTTTATTTTTTTTTCCATTTGTATGCCATCTCTCTCATATACTCTTTCTTTTTTTCTTTCTGGTATATTTTTGGTCATGAATTTACGTTGAAGGTATATTTTTGGGTAATAATTCGGATTCTTGTTAAGGATGCTTTCCTTTACTATGGTACAAACCAGGAATAGTTTCGCTGATTTAATAAAAATGCTGTATCTTTGAGCATTTATCTGTGTCTCTCATGACTCAGCATTGTTGAAACAAGATCAGTTCCCTTTCTTCCTCAAATCTACATACATATCAATAGGAAATGGGGAAAGATAAAAACTGGAGTGGAAGTATAATAAAGCACACAGTGAAACCACATCTGTCCCTAATTGCCCAAGAGCAATTTGAAGCCACACTCTCCTTTCTCTCTTTCCAATGACCAAAGTCTAATTATTCACATTTCAGAGTTGCTCTTATAGTCTCTATATTATGCTCTGCCCCACTCATTTCCTGGGATACTTCCTTTGCCTGTCTCTTCAAAGTCTTACCTCCTTCCAACCCACCTTCCTAATGCTATACCCAACAATTTGGATGTATGTTTTTCCCCCAGTGGGTTTCCATCATTTGCAGGCTAAAGTAAAGTCAAATTCCTTTTCCTGCTTTGCACCCTCCTCTCTTGCTGAGACTCCTTTTGTAATCCCAGACAATGACTATAAGCTTGTGTCTGTGTGCTAACACATGAGCCATTCATGTCTTTGTGAAAAATCTTATCTCTAAAAATTGATATTAATGTTTCCAGTCTCCCCACAGAAGAGCCTCCTGTGAGAATTTTTTCCCTGATTGGCCCAGAAGTGGTCCTTCTAACCCACAAGGAGAAGTGTTCACTTAGACGTCTTTATTTTCTCTTACTGAATCATAAGAGATAGGTAGGATATTAGTCAGATTGTATAGATGACATAAATGACATAATGACATAAATTTCCATCAAAAAACCTTTTGTCCCCCCACTTCCTGTGAGCTCTGCCATGGTTCAATGTCAGGGCACGAGGATGTGGTGCTTCTTGTGCCCTGCAGTGCCACGGACGACAAGGATCACACCTGATACTGTTCGGAGCCTTCAGGGCTGGTGATGCTAGCGATGTTAGGTTGGGGGAGGGACTCATGAGACTAAGAATCAAACCAGGGTCTTGCATATATCCTAATTCCTGTATTATCTTCCTGTCCCCAAAGAACATTCCTGAAATATCTATTCAAATTTCATTTAAGAGTAGAGTGGGTAGTACTTATGGGAGATGACAGTCTGTCTCTAGTCTATATGCTCTACCCAGCAAAACTCAATCTCGGTAATTGCCTTGACCAAAGGCCATAGAATGCAGCTGAGTGACCTAAAGAGCTAGCAATGTCCATTTCAAGGAACTGATCAAAGGACAATATTACTTCCAGATGTCCTTAGGAGAAATTATAACAGATACAGTTTATTTCTTTTGGGTGGAGGTGTTGTACCACACCCAGTGATACTCAGAGGTTACTCCTTTGTGGTTGGGGCGATTTCCCTGTGGTGCTCCAGGGACCCTGGAGTCAAAACCAGAGTAAGTGGCATTCAAGATCTTAAATCCTGTACCTTATCACCACTGGTCCTAAAGTTCCAGTTTATCCCACTCATTAAATTGTGGTTCTTCAGTGATATTTTGGAGACAACCAAGTTTTCCAGGTTACTTTGAGGCATTATTTGTTTTGGTTTTTCTTTGTTTTTTTTTGTTTTGTTTTGTTTTGTTTGTATCACATCTCTTCCCCATGAGACTACATACTTCCTGAGGTCAGAGACCTTATATTTATAAATTTTGATCTTTGTATTTAAAGCAGCATCTGGAACATAATGTAAGACATGTGACTACTGACTGTATGAATGACCCACCCTTTTCTCACAATAAAGCTATGCCTTCAGGGGCTGAAGTGATAGCACAGTGGGTAGAGTGTTTGCCTTGTGTGCAGCTGACCCAGGTTAGATTCCCAGCATTCCATATGGTCCCCCGAGCACCGCCAGGAGTAATTCCTGAGTGCAGAGCTAGGAGTAACCCCTGTGCGTCACTGGGTGTGACCAAACAAGAAAAAAAAAGCTATGCCTTCATATGGTTGTTTAAAAATATAAAATATAACTTAATGAAGATAGTTTTAACAGTTCACAACAATGCTCGAAAGGTAAAGGTAAAGGCTCTCCCGTTGATCATCGATTTGCTCGAGCGGGCCCAGTAACGTCTCCATTGGAGACTTTGTTGTTACTGTGTCTGGCATATCGAATACTCTCGGTAGCTTGCCGGGCTCTCCGGGAGGGGCGGAGGAATCGAACTCGGGTCGGCCATGTTGGCTGCGTGCAAGGCAAACGCCCTACCCGCTGTGCTATCGCTCCAGCCCCAACAGTTCACAACAATATTGAATAAAATATAGATTGAAGTTATTTGTCAACTAACAGTCTAAAATTTTTGATAATCATTGCTCTCTTTTCTGTGGATCAGGACCCAGGTGATGCTGGGGCCCTTCAGTGCTATAACTGACAATACCCTCTGGAGTTCATGGGTGTCTGAAATAGAACCAGGATGGGCCTGATGCAAGGCATGTTCTTAACCCCTATACCATCTCTCTAGTCACAACCCTTTGCTTTCTTAAGAAACTAAACATCATTATTGAGAGATTAATATACTCAAGTTATTTAACCTCCATAGAACAGGTTTCATTGACTGGAGAAGTAATACTGAAATGAAAGCAAATATTTTAAGGGAAAGTAGAGCCAAAAGAGACCCAAACTCTCTATTCTCATGAGTCTGCAACCAAAAGCATGTGTTCCAATATAGGAATATTTTACAGTGAAAGCTAGGAATAGATCAGAATACTAGGCACTGTAGCACTGTAGCACTGTCCTCCCGTTGTTCATCGATTTGGTCGAGCGGGCACCAGTAACGTCTCCATTGTGAGACTTTTGTTACTGTGTTTGGCATATCAAATACGTCACGGATAGCTTGCCAGGCTTCTCCGTGCAGGCAAGAAACTCTTGGTAGCTTGCTGGACTCTCCAAGAAGGGCAGGGGGATTGAACCCGGGCCGGCTGCGTGCAAGGCCCTACTGCTGTGCTATCTAAAAGAAATGAAGGTGACCTTCAAGGAAAGAATGCACCAAAGCACCACTGATTTCCCCCCTTCCTCCTCTGGATATTAACATCATCTCTAGCTTGGTGCTACTGCCCTGCAATGTTTACTCTCCTAGCGGTGAAACAGTGAAATAATGACTTCCCTTCTCACCTATCCAATTGATGGATTTTACTCATTCCAGAAACAAATAACCTGGCTTTGCTGTGCACTGTCCTCTCAGAACCATATCTTGGTGCTTACTTATTTTTTTTTCCTTCTTCCCATATGACATCTATAGTGCTTTTTCGATCTTTAAATATCTCTTTTCCTTTGATAAACACAACACATTCTGTCCCCTCACCCCAAATTTAACTTAAACAACTATTAAGTTAAAGGGAAAAAAAGAAATTACTTTCCCCCAATTTCCGGCAGTAAGTATTTGATAATCATAATAAAATGTGGAGGCAACAAGGCTGGCAACCTAAACACAGAGACCCAGCAAAGTGAATCTAGTCATTAAAGTAGAAGCAGCACTATGCCAAGAAGTCTCTCTCACCGAGCGGCTAACCTGCTGCCTTTGTCCACACTCCCAGAAAAAAAACAAAAACAAAACTCTTCATTTCAGAGTGGCAAAGTGGAACCCGACCCTGGTCTCCAATTCTCTTCTGTTTCTCAAGTGCCTTGGAGTTACTACCTTGGTTCTCAGAGTTACTACCTTTGTTCAGCAGGACCAAAGGCACGGTGATGACAGTGACGATCGCGGCCACCGCCAGGAGTCCCAAGAGCACCTTCAACGCTACCTGCAAGAAGTCAAATCAGGTCCAGTTACTAAGCAGCTTTGGGAGTCCCGTCTGGGTTTGGGTGAGAACCAAACTAGGTTTGGTCGGAACCTGGGCTGCCCCCAAACAGCGGGATTAAGCTGATGGGCGAGCACTGGAAGAGGAGCAGGGGCTGGAGGTGGGAGTGGGGAGGAGGAAAGTGCAGTTGCTTTTGAGCTCCTGGTCCCTTGAGCACGCAGAGTCAACTTGTCTACACCTGCATATCAAACTCCAAGTTCGGTTTCGGGTGTAGGTTTTCTGGGGGTCTCTCCAAGCCCTCCAAACCTCAGTGCCCGGATTCTGGCGGAAGACCTCGGATGTAAGGGCGAACCGAGAGCTCAGGGAGGTCCCTTCACCTGTCAGAGGGTGGCCGGAGCGCCGCTCGCTATGGGAGCCGCGGGACCCGTTCTGCGGTCTCGGCGGGACTCCGCAGGGAGAGGTTGTTCCCGGGCACCTACACCTCGACCCGGGGCGCGCCACTCACCTTCATGGCTCGGGTCTCCGCGTAACGGAGCTTTCCCGGGACGAGCGAGAGCAGGAATCAGGCGAGCCGCCGGGACGCGCGTCCAGCCCTGCTGCTCCCCGCGGCCGAGTCGCTAGCGGCTCTCGAGTCCGGCCCCAAGTTAAACATTAACCGAGAGTCCAGCCCGCGCCGCACAGGGGGCACCGGGCAGGCTGCGGGGCGGCGGCGCTGGACGAGGCGCGCCCGGAGCCGGGCACTGGCACCCAGCAGAGCGCCCAGGAGGCGCCTCCCCTCGGCAGTGCTGGATGCGGGGCGAGCGCGGGGAGCGCAGGGGGGTGGCGGGACGAGCGCCCGGCTGGGACCCGCCGGCTCCAGTTTCGTCTCTCCCGAGATCCCCACCCCACCCGTCCGGACCTGGGTCCCGGGCTCCCCAAACCTTACGTGGAGAGTCGTGGAATCCTAGCCCAGAGAAGGCATGCGGTGTTGCAAACTCACACAGCGCCCGAGTGGCAGGACAGCTAAAACCCGGGCCACTGGTCTGTGCCAGTGGTAAGCATATTGAAGGGGAGGGGAGTCTAATGCTGCTTGGAAAGGCAAGACTAGGAAAGGGCGGGGGTGGAGGGCGGATTGTTCACTCGTGAATAACTCTATAAACATTTGGATTCACATTCACCGCAGGGAATTTGTGACCTCTCTTGCAGGTTTAGCTTCTCATCCAGATGCCCCAAATAACAACGCTAACAATTACGTTGGAACTCACACCCCTTTTCCCCCACGACCACCAAGGGTTGCTCTAGTGATTTACTCTTTCTTTTGCAGGGACGCAGCCTGGGCGCACATAGATGAGTAACTTGACCAAGTCACAGCTTGGGAAGATGTGGAGCCTGAATTCCTCCTAGTCCCTGTTCTTAACAACTGCTCTCATCTCAACAGTGCGAAGAGAATTTGCCAAAGATCCTAAAATCAAGTGTAACTTCTCCTTCCTCTCGATCATTTCATGCCCAGTGATTGGTTCCTTCGTCACTCGTTCTTTTTTGCCCACGGCTGCTCACTTATTCCACCAACTCTGCAAAAAAGAATTAACTCAAAGTGCTACCTGTTAGATGTGGGGATACAGAAGTTGAACAACACAGAAGAGGGCTACACATTGGTTACTTTCAGCATAAAGTACACAGAAACATTTGCCTGTGCAACTTTTCTATGATTACTTACTTCCTGTCTTGACGGCTAGTACTTCTTCCTCCTAAAACACCTCTCCATCTTGTTCACGGTATTTGAAAAAACAGAGCTGTTTTCTCCGTGGTTTGAGTTAAAAAATACTACAAATGCAATGCCTAGTGGGTTTTGCTGTACCATTATGAGTAATTTCAAAATTTCATTCTTTATTTCCAATCTAGATTTTGCTTCTGAACTCAATAATCTCTCTCTTAACTACCACTTGGTTCAGATTCATACATATAGTCACCACATCCAACTCCAGAGGCTCAAACTGACTTTTTCATTTTTTTATTAATCTTGACCCTCCATACTCTCTGATGATGATACTCTTCATAAAAGGTGTTACTTTTCACCAAAACTTACTTTCCTGTTTATTTTTTCTTTATTCTTTTTATTGCTGCCTCCATTTGGCCACTCCAAATCCTGTCTTCACCAGGAGTTAATCCATCCCTGCTCCCTCTTTCAAGTCCAGTTTTTAGTGTAAATGTGGCCTGTAGCACAGCAGGTAGAGCCTTTGCCTTGCACACGGCCAACCCGGGCTCCATTCCTCCGTCCCTCTCAGAGAGCCTGGCAAGCTACTGAGAGTATTCTGCCCACCAGACAGAGCCTGGCAATCTCCCCCCTGGCGTTTTTGATATGCCAAAAACAGTAAGAAGTCTCACAATGGAGATGTTACTAGTGCCCACTCGAACAATGAGAGGACAGTGCTACAGTGCTACAGTGCGGCCTGTGAAGTAGAACAGTGATGAGGCCTTCCAACAAGAACTAGTGGAAATTGCACTGTGTTGGGAATTAGTTTTAGCCTCTGTTCTCATTATTTTGTATACTCAGCAGTGTGGGAGAGAAACCACAAGTGAAATTAGTATTAAGAAATGAAGTCAAACAGTTAAACCTCCATTTAACTCACATGGCTATATGATGAGTGAACTTTCAGACAGCCTGGGGAAGCTGAGGACAGGTTGGCTTACATCCCGGTAATCCTTTTCTCTGCAGGAGGAAATTCCCTGAGACATAAATATCTTTACATTGGCTTTATGCCAATGTAAGAGATTTCCCCCCCCCCCTCTACAAATCTCCCCCAAAGTTGACCTTTTTCTCACTGGTCTTGACTTTTTCCCAAGTCCCTAAGAAACATTAACCACATCAATGAATAGGTAGATCATATAGCAGACCGTTATTCTTTTTCTTTTAGTGCAGGGCTCTATCACAAGCTATGCACGTGAGAGCCTCAGGTTCAATTGCTGACACCAACTGGTCCTCCATGCACTGCCAGGGGTTGGCCTCCAATAAAGAAATTAAGCTAACTAAAGTTAGAAATGTTTTGTTTTCTAGTTACTTCAAAAGTGTTAAATTCTATCTTGAAGATAATAACCAGCACTATATATATATATGTATGTATATATATATAGTTTAACTGATATTTGAATAGCAATCTACATACTGATACATATCCTTTTGTCTTTTTGTTGGGACACAACCAGTGGTGCTCAGCACTTACTCTGGGTTCTGTGCTCAGGTGTTTCTCTTGACAGTGCTCAGTGGACCTTATGTGGTACTGAGTATCAAGTTGTGGTCAGTTACATGAATAGCAAGCAACTTAATCCCTAAACTATCTCTTTGGTCCCAGAAAATGTTCTTCTTTTTAATCAACACATCCTATCCTGATTAGACACAAAAATGAGTAGTAAAAAGTGTTTTTTCTTGTGTTCAGCATAACATTTTTATTTTTTGTTTAGTTTAGGAGTACAATAGTGTAAAAATTTATAGTACTGGCATAAAAAATTATTACACTCTCCACCGTCAAAGTGTCCATAATCCTCCACAACTGTCCTTACATAAATTTGGAGTTCATAGGATTCCTAAGGTCAAGTTGTCCACAAATTTTATAATTTTTTTCTTCCTTGTGGTAGAAAAAATTTTTCTATTTTTCTATGAACACTTTTATTTGCAATCTTTTAAAATATGGAAAGATATATATTTTCTGAATTTATATATTCTTTAAAATCTATATCCTAAAAATCACAAGTTAAACATATATATGTAATTATATAAACATATATACAACATATAAAAACACACACCCTTGATATTCAGTTACTTTTTAAGAAATATTCAAATATAAATGTCATGTCTTGTGATCATTATTTTAAAGCCTGTATATTGCTTTTGATAAAATTTTGTAATTAAAATACTCAAATATTTAATAAATGATACAAAAATCATTATGAAAAGGATGCTACTTTGCACTATGCTAGTCTAATCTCAGACGTAGCACTGCACTGTAGCACTGTTCTCCGTTGTTCATCGATTTTCTCGAGCAGCCACCAGTATCATCTCCATTGTCTGACTTGTTGTTACCGTTTTTGGCATATCAAATAAGTCACGGGGAGCTTGCCAGGCTCTGCCATGCAGGCAAGATACTCTTCGTAGCTTGCCAGGCTCTCCAAGAGTGGCAGAGGAATGAACCTGGGTTGGCGGCGTGCAAGGCAAACACCCTACATTATGAAAAATGAGCTATTATTTTTTTATTCATCATTGTTATGAATTTGCTGTAAACTACATAATTTACTGTTCTTTTAGAAAGTTTTCAAGTATTTACCTTTGTGATGTCAAGATTACCTTCTCAGTTTGATTTAACCATCAGTAAAGTGCAGATTTCTGAATACATTTTTACTCTGCATATCAGTTGTAGCAGAGAACTCAGTACTGATATTCATTTCCAGCTATTTCAACAACATGCCTATTTTATTAGTTACTTCAAGGAATTTATTTGATTTGATAACTCTTTCTTATTTCAATAGGATAGGAAATAACATTATTTTTGTATATCTTTAACTGTCATTAAAAATACTATCACTATGAAAAAGAAGTACAGATTATTTTTTCCACCAGAGTCTTTGTGTTTTCATCTTTCCAACTTTTCAAGAATTTTGTCTTAGCTTCTTGGTGAGATGAACTCAACTGATTAAATTGCTGAACTAACTCTTTTTTTAGGTAAAACGTTAAAAAGTTAGAGATACCTTCTGAAACCTGCACCCATTCTATTAAATCAAACACACTTTGATAATTCTGATTGATAAAATAAGTTCAACCACAAATAATATCAGTTATTTTGGGAAATGACTATAAGTCCAGTTTATCCAGAAATTTCTCTAGTTACTGCAGTGGCTCTTCTCCTCCAAACCTCCATCCCACTCTCTGGCTCCATCATTTCAGGCCATCTCTGTCTCCTTGCAAAATATTGTACTACACAGAGTTCAGTTAGGGAGATTAAGCTTTCTGCTGTATTTTAAGATGCCTGAAATACCTAAGAAGGGTTGCATCAGCATGCATTATGATAAGTGAAAACTTCTTTGCATGGGCAGACACTCCCCTCCTCACTGTTTCCTGATGAAAAGAACTCCCATGAAGGCATGTGTTGGGGGAGAGACATTGAAATTGTGAGAGAAGCTATAGGGTTTACTTTCTTGGCTCACGCATTTTGCTTGAACACATTCTTTATGGTTATCTCAGATTGTATATCTATTTAATGTCATTGGTTCAATTGTGTCTTCTCAAAAAAAATGGATATCTGAATCCCAAGTATTTCAGAATGTCACTTTACTTGGTGACAAATCTTTGCAGAACTAGAGAAGTTAATAAGTCATTGAGATGAGATTTAGTCAAATATGGCTGATATTTGTGCACAGATGAGAAATTTGTACACAGTGACAGACATGCAAAGAGAAATGATGTGAAGAGACACAGGGAGCAGACAGTGATCCATAAGCCATGGAGAAATGTCTATAACAGATCCTCTGACAGCTCTCAGAAAACATCAACCCTGATGATCCCTTTATTCCACACTTCCAGCCTCCAGAGCTATGAGACAGTACATTTCTGTAATTTTAACCCCATAGTTATTGTTACTTAGTTATAGTACGCCTAGAAAATTAGTACACTAGGTGTTCTGTGATCAGGATTTTAGACACTATCAGGATCCTGTAGAAAAACAGAATTTTCATGTTTTCTTCACTGACTGTTGTGATGGCTCTAACACTGATC